CCCCAAAACCCCAAAACCCCAAAACCCCAAAACCCCAAAACCCCAAAACCCCTTTTCTGTACAGGAATATTGAAACTATTTTAAAATTATTTTGGCAAACTTGTCAATTTTGCTTTGAAATGAATGGTTTCAGATTTTTCACTATTTTGGAAAACTTTGTATCAACAAGCCACAAAATTTATGACTGAAGGTCTTTAAGCAGCAAGGTATTGACTAGTTTTTGTAGCTCAATGTTTTCTTGTCGAATATCTTTCATCTTGCATTCCAAAGTTCTGATCTTGGTTTCGTACTCTTCAAAATTTTTGAGGACCTCTTTGTCAGGGTTTGGATTAGAGTACTCCTTATGCCGTTCAAATATCCCATATGAAGGTGAATGCATGAGGTGGTTCCTCTCCATCGTTCAAAAGAAAGGGCTTAAAGAATTCCTTCTATCAATAAAATTCCGTCTCTTTTCCTCTGAGGACTCAATGTCTGTTGCTAGTGATGCTAGCAAGCTCTTATTTGGAAGCAGTCTCTTTTGGAATTTGGGCGGAATGAGCTACTTTATTTCTAAATTCATAATTAGGCCTAATTCTGATGAGCGTAATGGGATGTCATTAAAAATATAGGAATCTGAGTCATTCTACTACAAATTTCTTACTCTGTGAACCTCTTTTCAGGAGTTGGGTGAATTTTCTCCATTTCAAAGGAGACTAAATCAGGGGTGGAATCTATCCTAAGTCCTTCCATTTTGGCCCTCATCTTCTTACACTTGTACTTTAAGTTATAATTCTTCGGCTTTTTGGAGCAATACTTGTTAAATTTCTTACATTTTCTGGTCTACAATGCGGTTAAGGAGTAAGCTACTAGCAACTTACGTAATTAATAATTTTTCGGTCATGAATACTGAAATTAAAGGTGCTCTTTCTCTGTCTGAAGCTCAGCTCATTTCTTGGGAATTTAGGATTAAGTCTATAACTACATTGTCTAGAGGAGAAATCAGCAGGGAGTACTTCCTGTTTCGGTGTCTCTAACTCTTCGATTCCTAGAACTGTCTCGTTCAAATCCTTGTTCTCAAGCCGGCTTCACTTGAAAGAAGTCTTGGGGATCTTGAGCAGAGAGCATGCTGAAAGCGTTGAAGTACTCTTGATTTTATTTTTATCCCACTTGGTAGGAATAAGGCTGCTCTTTAGAGACAAATTTGACACAGCTGGCTTCTGGATTAGCCCCTGAGAATCCCGATTTTTAATAGCATTCTTCAGCCTGCGGAAAGTCTCCTTTGGCTGGTTGGAGCTTTCAGAGCATATTTCAGGAGCCTCATCGATGAACTTTCAGTTTAGAGAGGGAAATTCCGTCGAAGTGGTCAAATTAGTGATACTCTTACTTATTGGGTGTGTCAATGTCTGTGACAGATCAAGTGGTTTAAATTTTTTATCACTATCGGCTAGTTCTTCAGCAACTTTTGGAGAGGGCGATCATACCTCCATAAAGCTAATTTCGTGGGTAATTAAGGCCGGATGGATATTAAGAGCTTTTTGCATATTTTGTATGATAATTCTATTCAATTATATTTATTTTTGTTGGGGTTTTGGGGTTTTGGGGTTTTGGGGTTTTGGGGTTTTGGGGTTTTGGGG